TTTGAAGTGCTACCCATAAAGCAACTAGGGCAGAGTTAAATGCGTCCCATGTAATTGATACTTGACGATCTAAAGGTGGCTTGAAGGGCGCACACAATGAAAAGTACAGCAACAATCGACTGATGCATATCCAACAGGTTCCTGAACTCATTGCAACTATGTCGAAAGCTAGATCAACACTTTGGTCACCTAATAGCAGGAATAAAAACTGGTAGAAAAAGCAACCGTAAAAGTAGAATTAACGTTTTCCATTGACAGGCGCACGTTTTACACTTGTTAAAACTCGCACAACAAAAGTGCATGCTTATAACCTTATCATCTATGCTTTCATTCGCATAACTGGTTAGGTTTCCTGTTGGTTAATACTTTTTAACTCAATTCGTGGTGTTTTTTTCCCCATTTGTTACAATTTTCACATACCGACGTCAGTAGAGTGGAAAGAAAAAAACAAACTCACTTCTCCTTCTCTTCCGCATCGCCCGCTTCACTAATTTGAGCAATAACTTTGTCGACTCGATTTGCCGAGGAATACTCGAGCAGTTGAAGATGGATCCAGTGATGCAAAAAGGATCTGTAATCCGCTCCAACGTGCTTCACGCGACTCTTCAGGAGGTCCCGCATTGATGCGTCTGAAGGGGGCGGGGTACTATCGAAAAGGATTTCGAATCGGCTTATCAAGAGATCATTGGGAATTCTCATATTCAATTTATACAAAACCAACAGATGTGGAATTTGTACCATAAAAAAGTAATGAGCAGAAAAGTGACTCGCTAAGAAATGAATTCTTTGAAAGAGTCCACAAATCGACAAAAAATCGGAATGAGAAGTGGTGTGCAGCTGCATATGCTTAATTCCTTTCTACTAAGCCAAGTAGGCACACACAGTTTGAGAGGAGTTGGCTCGTCAGAATGGATACTGCTGCAGCATTAGCATTTTAGACGCTCTGTGTACTGCGGAAGAGCAATGATGATGAGAGCATGCAAGTGTTCACATTAGCGCAAACATTGGTCCGTGAATAGATGACAATTTGAGAATATCCGAAGAGGTACGTTAAATGCGGAGCACTTAGGGCTCTTGTAAACTACAATTTAACAGAAATAACAAAGAGTGAACAAGAACTGTCAAATTGAACGCTGATTTTGGGATCGGTCTACAAAATTGACCCAAGTGCCTAAATGTTCGGAAGGTGTGCCAGTAAGGCGTCTGAGGACGAAAATTGTCTAATGCAGACGGTGATCCAAGTAATGTAACGGGACTTGCTGTTAGGGCTGCAAAAGATAGCAATATTAAAAGCAAAGGAGTAAATCATAACCTCTAAGTAAACAAAAAAGTAGACGCTTGGAAAGAAAAAGAAATAATATTTTGGCTCATATTTGCGACTTAGCAGCATCTGCCATCCATCATATGTCAACCCTCGATGCATGGTCGAATGTCGCGGTCAAAAACAACTCAAACATGGTTCCAATGAATAGCGATTAATGGATCTGGCAGCCTGTACAGGTTAACTGACCGTCAGAGTCTTTATAAGAACCCACCCTCTGTTTACTTGTTTTTTTAGCATTTATTTTGCTTCAACATGCGGTAACTAATCAATCGTTCATGAAAGAATGTCAGCACCAGGTGATCAGTGAGCTGGACAATCA